GCGATAGTTTTCTCGTTATTACGCGATGATTATCTCGTAATTACAAGATAGTTTTCTCGTAATTACGCGATAATTATCTCGTAATTACGCGATAATTATCTCGTTATTACGAGTTAAAAAATGATTATCTCGTAATTACGCGATAGTTTTCTCGTAATTACGCGATAATTATCTCGTAATTACAAGATAAATATTTTTTATTTTTTTTTGTGACCCTCATAGGCTTTCGTAGTTAGCATTTGTTGAACATATTATTTAAGTAAGTCATGATTGCGTCCGTTAAATTTTCGTAGGCATTATTTCAACTGCACCATGGAGAACCTTTAGTTAACTACCAAATTAATCGTAACCCTTATCAAGGACATGCTGATAGGGACTTAAAATAAGAAAATTGGAGGTATGCTATTAGATTTCTACAAAAAAATTAAAGTTTACAATGAGAAAATTGAAATAATTTAGTTTTAGTGCTCATCCGACCATCACGGCCAATTGATAGATGTAATTCTAAATTGAAAGCAGACGCTAACTGGGCTACTAATGCCAAAAGTTTAACACAAGTCAATAAAATGTGCATATTATTTTTATTGATAATCCTTTCATTTATTACAGCACTAGAAGAAAATATAAGCGGGCGTAGCAAACAGATGAAAATGAATAGTCAATCTGCACAAAACCCTCCTGTCCCTCCTCCCCCCGGTAAAATATAACAAAAGGTTTTGAGGATGGTATCAATATGTTGTAATTATTTTTACATGTTCTAACTGACATTAACGAAAACAGAAAAGTTTCAATCGAATGTTTTAAAAAAATTAACAATCTGCGACATCACAACATGTTTCTTTATAAAAATGAAGATATTCATAGAGAAAAGCGTCACATCTTTCACAACTCCAATTATGTGAAATATATAAATAGAAAAGTACAACAAGTAGGATTGGTTCTAAAGAGGCGTGGCTAAATGTATCGAAATTAAGATGTTCGTCTGTGAAAATTTGCTCTAATGAGATTTTAAAGCCACGTATAAGCACGAGTATTTCCGAACAAAAGCGGAGTGAAGAATATCAAATAAAACTTATTTCAAAGTATACGCCTCCTCCGTGCGGATCGTGTTTTCTAACAACATAACTAGAAGTTGTTAGATTCTGCTGACTTCAAGTTAACAACAATGTATTATATTCTGGTAAGCAATATTTTTCTAGTTACATATAATTTCTTGGTTTGTATTTTAACTATTCTAACCAAAACAAAAAAGCATTGCAAGGAAACTGTTTTTGCTTTTGACAATTGAAAATGTATTTGCCTTGTGATGTTATATACTTTGACAACTTCCACGTACGGTTTTGTTTCGATTTTAAGAGTCTAGAGCAATAAAAAAAATGGGTAACAGGAATTGCCTAAAAGTAATGGACAGTACAACAGGCCACATTTAACAACTTTACCCGACTTCTCCGCAAAAACAGATATACAAGCAAAGACAAATTAGACACAACAAATGGCGTTTTAAGTGAACACTTTAATAAGAATAAACATGAACGAATAACACATAGCATTTTAAAGAGTGAATGTTGTTCTTTGTATTTGAGCAGTTTTAAAAACTGTTTTTGATGTGTTATTTATGTTGACTGTTTGATTTTAGTTTTTTGTTTGTTTTGCTTAATTAAGTATTTAAGCTGGTGTGAGAAAATATGTTATTGTGTGTAATTAATATTTTTTAGCTGTATAACCATGGTTGTTGGGGATATTTTTTAACAAAATGTGAAAATCTTTTATTTTCTTTATTTCATTAGCTCTTGGTGTTGGCAGCATCTTCATGCTTTTCACAAGATCAGTGTGGTCCGAATGATGGAGAATGTTTTACAGAACCGTTTGCTAATGTCATGACCAGTGAGGATGACAACTTTCCGTAAGTATTTCACACCAAAGATCGTCCATTTCATATTTCAAAGTGGGCAGGAGGATTTTGAAAATAGATTATCTGAATTAGAACTGGCATAATAAAATCAGCTAGATAGTAGATATCCTGAATACAATTAATCGGAAATAATTGTGCATAAAAGATGAAAATAGAAAGTCGTTCAGTACTGGGGGAAAAAATGAAAAAAGTCTTCCTGCAAGAATGTCATATGGTCTGCTTTTTATGTTCTGAGAATAAACTTAGATCATTGAGATAAGTAATTTTTTCAGTTTAATTCTATAACCTAAGCGTTTTTTTTTGTTTTTTTTTACAAAATGTGAAAATCTTTTATTTTCTTTCCTTTATTTAATACTTGTACGTAGCAGATGACATTGATTAAGATTGTTACTAGATGTGAGAAGAATTAAACAAAGGGTGAAGACAAATTTATTAGAAAGACCTGAAAGTTTGGCATCTACAAAAATGATTTGATAATTTCAGTTTTGTGTGAGCTTATAATAATGCTGTGTTTTAATATTGCATGATGTTACTGTTTTTTACTTGCACTGTTATCGTTCGGTTTTGCTATGTTTGCTCGTTTGATGGGCGTGGTTTTAATATATTCAATATACAATCGTAGTCTCTTCGATTAAGGCTATGGTTGCTCGTTTGATGGGTGTGGTTTAATGTATTCAGTATACAATCGTAGTGTCTTCGATTAAGGCTATGATTGCTCGTTTGATGGGTGTGGTTTTAATATATCCGTGTCTTCAATTAAGGCTATGTTTTCTCGTTTGAATGGTGTGGTTTTAATATATTCAGCATACAATCGTAGTGTCTTCGATAAGGTTGTGATTGCTCGTTTGGTGGGTATGGTTTTAATATATTCAGTATAGAATACGTACACAATGCAATTATTTCACAGAGCAAAAAAATCATGTGCTATATAAATTAAACATTAATAGGTTAATTATTGTTTCAGGGTTGAAAAAATGCAAGCAACATTAGATGCAGACCCAGATATAAAGGCTGAAGTCGAGGTTGCGAAACTAGCGATTGCCCGCTTAAAAGCACCAGTTTCTTCTCCGTAAGTGAACTTGAAAACTAAATTCTAACCAAAGCACTGTATACAACACATAAATTGTAAACCAAATTAAAACAGTTGACGGAGAAGCTCGAGATACTGAATATATAAAAAAAATTTGTGAACAAATCAAAAAAAAGCTTGGAAGAGAGAATTGAATTCAGTTTGATCCTTTTCGGTTATATCAGCTCATCAACGTTTATATTTCTAAATTTGATTCAATTTAAAGTTGATTAAAATTGAATTACACGTCGACTACAAGTCAATTGTCAAATCAGTAAAATGGCACCCTCGATAGAGCGTGGCTCGTTTCGTTTTTTAAAATATTCAACATGAAATCATTTGTATTACATGTAAGTGATTTCTTGTGTACGTTTTCGATTTTAAATATGCTGTTTTAAGTCGTAAGTTTGTCGTCTCCTTAGCGTGTACTTCACGTCTCCTTATGGTCATATAATTTAGATTTTTCTGAATACAATATGATCTTCTAAGGAAGTAACGCAACGTTACTTTACATATGTACAATGTATATATGTTCCGGACCATATGAGTATTTGGACCATACGCGTATGGTCCGGTTAGTTAACACGATTGAACGTTAAAAGGGTGTCTCATAAATTAAGAGTTTCTAATAATGAAATGTTTACTCTTTCAATCATTTTGTAATCATTGTTACATGATTATAGTAAAACCATTTTTACATGGTCATTATTGATTTGTCCTTAAATTTGTACGAAACGCAATATGTCTACTTATGAAAATAACTTCTAGAAATATCTAAATGAACTGTAAAACAAGAAGTCAGTTGCTTAACTCACAGGAATTTTGGTTATTGAACCCTCTTTCTTTTCTTTTTTAAAAATTTATTTTATTGGTTTTTTTTTACTAAATCTATCTTTCTTAAATATTTCAAATTGTTTTTAGTTATTTAATATTTTCTTGCTCCTATCTATACGATCTTACAATAACAGAAAAATCATACGAGAAGGAGAAAGAACACAATAATTAATTGAAAATAAGTTGAGATTAGAATAAACTCTGTTTCTGAAATAATAATTTAAACAAGAAAAAAGGTTCATGCCCAAAACGCCTGTGGCTTCTTTTGCGGACGAAAAGTTCGACAAAATAAAACGCTCTAAATTGTTTCTAGCGAAGGCAAGATAACATTTACACCATGATTCAGACAATATGTAAAGATAAAGGAATCAGTTAGTAACTGGTGCCGGTTTGGGTTCGGAGAATGAGCTTTGTTCTCCTGCGAAGGAAGTTAGAATTTATTTGAAAAATACCTATATGGTCTAAATACTCATATGGTCCAGCCCGTTATTAACCAAACGAGTCTTAGTATACTCATATGATCCGAACATGCGCGTATGGTCGGACCATATGGGTATACGCATATGGTCATGACCATACGCGTATGGTACAAATACTGATATGGTCCGGAACATATACGATAGTTAACGTTAATAGTTGATTCAGTAGGAATAGGTGAATAACGAATTAAAGGGTTGAAAAAAACACAAATCTTCTGTTGGTTTGTGTGCAAAATTAGTAAAAGTCACGATAATAAATTATCGCTATTTTACGAAATTTTCCTTTGATCTTACTGACTGATAATTTCCTTTCTCAGCACAGTAGAGTGATATGAAAAATTATCGCTAGAAACTAAGGGCGCATGTGCCTGTGTCAATGAAATTAACAACGTCGTCATAGGTAAAATAGCGATAAACAGATTATCATTGGTCATCTCAACTCGATTGCTTTTCTCACTTTCGCCGTACCGGCTCAAGCGAGAAAATCAATCTCGTTGAGATGACCAACGATAATCTATAAGTATCCACGAAAATGTATAGATTTTTTGTCCGACCAATAGTAATGTGATAACCTATAATGCTATAATGAATTTGTATAATGATACTCTAAATTAAACTCTGAGTAGTGGAAAATAAAAGCGACACCTAACGGTTGTAGCTAGTTAAAATGTGATGATTTTATCTGTTTATTTTTTTATAGACCTAATCTTGGATATCCATTGTGTTACAAGAAACATGCAATATTGAAAGTGCCTCAAAAAATATGGATCAAGAATGGGTTTTGTTATTTCCATTGGTATTATGTGAAAAGCCAGATACCATATGCATACTGTGGAAAGTAAGTCATATATATTGTAATTGTTATTCCCATTCGACCGTTAGTAATTTTAAAAGGCATACAACTTTAAAAGAAGGATCCCACTCTCAACAGCGACATTACCATATTATTATATACTATGTTGTATATTTAATTATTTATATGTCGTGTTCAAGGAATTCTATTACTTATGTAGTATACACAATTTTACAAGATCGACTGTCGTACACATGCATGATGAATATACCCTTACATTTTTCCGTATTGGTGTTTTATTTGAGAATGTAATGCTTGCTTTTGTAATTTTATATACGTGTGAAAAAGCGTTGACCGAAGTACATTTTGAGTGAAGCTCGCGATCAACGCTTTTAAAGCCCTTTCAAATAACAAAATGAAGCATTCAATTCTTATAATTACATTTTTATTCTACAAACATAAAATTACGAATTAAATCTTACTTTTTTTCTGTGCATTGTTGTGACGTTGTCATGGGAAGCACGTGCTGTCATGAATGTTGCTTTTTGTTTTGAAATAAAATCTAATTTTGGAATGCCTCACGATTGTTGTCAATGAATCATAATACGGATTCTAATGAAACATGCAGTTAGTTTTGAATTGTCAAGTTTGAACGTCATATTCTTTATGCAAGTAAAAAGTGATGAAACGAAGGCATATATATAATTCCAAATTTGCTTTATAATAATTGTCTTATGTAAATAGCATATTATATTAATCTATTTTTCAGCCGACAACGCTGCAGTAATTTGCCATGTAATAACCCTTGGGCCCCATCTATCTGTTATCCTGCCGGCTTCTTGTCACTGAAACTATACATGTTTTGTCCACACCATAAACCGCGATACTGGTATCCTTACTACGTCCGTCTTCCTCAGTGTTGTGAATGTAGGAGATCCTTTTCTTGGTGGCTACAAGCGCCGTGGAGTCCAGCTATTCCTTGAGAAAGAATTATAATTCTAATAAACGTGTTTATTTCCTGTAAATGTATTTTTAATTCTATTATAAAACTGAGAATGGAAATGGGGAATGTGTCAAAAAGACAACAACCCGACCAAAGAGCAGAAAACAGCCAAAGGCCACTGGACTTCAACACAGCGAGAAAATCCCGCACCCGGAGGCGGGCTTCAGCTGGCCCCTAAATAAAAATGTGTACTAGTTCAGTGAAAATGAACGTCACACTAAACTCCAAAACATATAAATGAACTAAAATTAAAAAAAAACATACAAGACTAACAAAGGCCAGAGGCTCTTGACTTGGGACAAGCGCAAAAATGAGGCGGGGTTAAACATGTTTTGTGAGAACTCAACCCTCCCCCGATACCTCTAGACAATGTAGAATAAACAAACACACAGCAATATACACAGTAAAACTCAGTATAAAAGAAGTCCGAGTCCGATGTCAGAATAGGTAACAAAAGAAACTAAGCAAAATGACAATGATACATAAATTAACAAAGGACTACTAGCAGTTACTGACATGCCAGCTCCAGACCTCAATTAAACTGATTGAAAGATTATATCTTCATCATATGAAAATCAAGCTCAATTCCTCCCGTTAGGGGTTTAGTATCATACCATCATACAATATATGAGAAGAACATAAGCCGTATCACTCTTAAGTCATATGTTGTCAACAATCATCGGCTTATTCTTCTGCAATCCGTTTTTTCACAAGTAAAGTTTTACAAAATGCGTTTTATACGAGTCTGATTGTGTACTAGGCTCTGTCAACTTTTCCAAATACTAAGTTGACGGTATCAATCTTGCACATTATATTCAGCAAAAAACCTGTGGGACAACTAGTTTAGTCGCTTTGAAGAAGATAGCTCAGTAAAAATGGTCAAACATATGGTCAGTTAGTATGGCAGTTGAAAAGATCCTGACGCCAATACTTAGTTTTATTGCATAGCAACAATATATATCATTAGTTTTATTGCATAGCAACAATATATATCATACAGAATGTAACCAAAAGTAAGCATGGCATAATGTATCATTTTGCACTGATGCAAATATAGCTTCAAATTAAGGACGCCATTAGAGATAAAAGTATGTTTAAAATATTTTTTTTTAACTTTACTTTTCAATAAAATGGTTATGGATGAATAGTGGTGGCAAATATCCCTCGTAGAATATATATTGCAATCGCAAGCTCATGAAATATAAAAATGCACTCAGGTCAATATTCACCAATATTCATTCAATAACCCTGTATGATCCCCTACAATATAATTGAGGGGAAAATGTAAGTTATTGCATACGATCACTCAAAAAACCATCATTAATAATGAATCATGTTAGTGCTTAGGTATATATTGGAACAAAGGTATTTTACCGATGGCTTTACCTATGTTTCTGTAATAACTAGTAGTGGGTGCTAAAGATGAAAAGTTTTGAAAGCCCAACATAAAATTTGCTAGTTACAGGAAGATCTCATATGATAAAAGCAATTTACAAATCGAAAAAAGTTATGTCAGAGATGTTTATCATTCACTTTTTGATCCTGGTTCTTCATTGGTTTGTATAAATCATTAAATTGAAGTCTTTTGGTTATTTGTGCCGTTAGGTTGCTTTCTCATTGATTTGCACTCCAAACTCTTTTTAATCGTTTCATCCTCTTGACCTTATTTGATTTTATAATTGCTTGATAAAATATGGATTTTAATGTCAATAGGGTCAAGGTCACAGCAGCTATTGGTAGACTGAAATGTTTTATTTCAAGATGTAATCTTTTAGACTATTTATCTTACGATTACGTGACTTACAGTTTTAATATTTGAGATCACTAGGGTAAAGGTCAAGGATACAGAGGTCATTTATAGACTGAAAATTGGGGACAACAATTTGGTTTCCCGGTGACAGCTTTTGATGCATATGTCAAAACCTTCACCAAACATAGCTAGAGTATGCTCTTGGATGGAACAAGAACCCTATTGAGTTTTTCTTCAGTGTAGCAAAGATCAAGGTAACAGCACCTATAAATATACTACTAAATCTTTGAGATAAGTTCTATTTCTAGAAAATATCTTTCAATTCATAATTAGTTTTGAACCTATCTTTGGTAGGTACTGGACCTTGGGGTGCAAAAGACCCAATTGATCGTAGATAACTAGGTCAAAGGTCAAGGCTACAACAGTAATTTATAGACTGATATTTGGCCATTTTATTTGTTTCCCACCATTTGATATAGATATATAACATAATTAATTACAGTCTATGTTGTACTCCGTACAAAAATCTATTACTCAAGTACAAATCCATAAAGATCATATACCTATCATGATATAAAATATCTAAGGTTTTATACATGTTGCATGGTTGTAAAAAAAATAGTGTATTAAAGATTTCTGATAAGTTCTAGTAAATCGAGAAATTGAAATAGAATACTGAAGAAAAATCTTTAGTGCAGTAAAATTTGTACCGTTTTATGTTTAAGGGTTCATTTAAAAATCATAGATTAAGTAGTAGACAAATTTAAGAAAGTTTGTTCCGACGGTGACTTTTGTTTTTGTAATATTGTGGTATGGCAAGCCGTTCTCGTCAAAACTATGTTTAAACCTTTTTTTCGAAAACAAATTACACACTGAGAATTAAAACACCACACTGAGATTTAAAAACCTAAAATAACACACTGAGAAATCGAAATTACACACTGAGATTTAAAAAAAGCAAAAACACACACTGAGAATTTAAAATTACACACGGAGATTTTAAAAAGACACACTGAGATGAAATAAATTGAAAAACACACACTGAGAATTGTTAATTACACACTGAGATTTCAGAAATACACACTAAGATTAATATGCACATTACTAATGAATATTCATGATGAATAATTCAAGAGATTAATATCTTGGTCTCCCGAACTCTCGTCATTAAAATGAAATGCAGTTCCTTCAACCAGCATTCGTAATAAATTACAAGACTTAACATCGTTGTTTGCTAACTCATATTTATAAGTTTGATGCCTATAATTCAGATTATTACTAACAGTGTATCGGGATTTTTTGCTTAAAACTGTTTAAGCATGGTCCCTTTTCAAAAGTCTTTCAACTGTTACCCTAATTTCGCAAGGTAATCTTTTATATTTTTGTTACGTTTATATGCTATAATAGGCACTTGGGTAAAAATTTCACTGCTTTGTTTGTCTTTTTGCAGATTGTTCCAAGGTTTTCCTATAATTTTAATAAAGTTTTTCACCATTTGGTTATATTTTGTAATGAGAGTAAGTGGGTATTTTTCTTGTTCTAAATTGGTCTTTTTCTATACGTTGTATTTCTAATGTTTTTTTATAAAACATTTGGCGCCAAATTGAAGGACTAACGAGTTCTGTCCTCTAGCTGCTTTAAGCTTGTAATAGATTCAGATTAAGTATGCTAATTAGATATGTGCACATAAAAAGTGCGCACAAATCTCAGTGTGTAATTTCAAATTCTCAGTGTGTGTTTTTCAGTTTATTTTATCTCAGTGTGTCTTTTTGAAATCTCAGTGTGAAAGTTTCAATTCTCAGTGTGTAATTTTCAATTCTCAGTGTGGAAATTTCAATTCGCAGTGTGTGTTTTTCATTTTTTGTAATTTCAGTGCGTCTTTATGAAATCTCAGGGTGTAATTTTTTATTTTCAGTGTGTGTTTTTAGATTTTTTAATCTCGATGTGTTTTTTTTTTTAATTCTCAGCTTGTAAATTTTTCGAAAAATAGTTTATACATAGTTTTGACGAGAACGGCATGCCATACTGTGGGTGGTCGAAATTACACATATACATATAGTGGTAGTTTACCGGGAATACAAAGGAGGAACTGTGACATCATTGTAAAGCTTGAAAGGGTTTTTACATGATATGAATTTTGAAAAAAAAAAAAATAATTCCGTAGACATCTTTCATTTGGTGTGAATAAAAGATGCGAGGTGTGTTTCAATGTGACAGCAACCCAGCTACTGTAGAAAAATTTCTTAATAAAAAGATAGAATGAACATGATGAAAACTCAGTTTGGACATTTTTATAGCAAATTAAAAAATCACTACCTCTAACCTTTCAAATGACTAAAATTGAGACTGTTTACAATAACAATATGTATAGAAATATAGAAATATGAATAGAAATATTTAGCAACACTTTCATAGAAGCTATGAAGTGGAATTAAAATCTTAATGGATTGTAAATATGCAATATTTTATCGCCTTCCAATTTGTTGACTTGACTGTGTTTCTTTTCAGCAGTTTAAAATGATTGACCTGTTGAACTGTTTGATTTGATGAAAAAAATTGCAATTAGGTCAGAATTTTTTAATGAACTGCAATAGATTGAAATAAAAACTTATAATCATGCAAGATCGAGTTGTTTTCCCTGTTTTCAGGGATTAAATGAACTGTACAATATACATTATTTCACTTCCTTGTGAAGACCAAATGAAAAATTATACATCTTTCAAAATGTAATAGTTAAAGGTTTATAATAAATTGTAAAATGAACCTTCGATCTAATTTCTATCTCTGTATTTGTCTTCTTCATTTTGCTCCGATTTGTTTATTTATGTGGTTATATGATCAGGATTTCTTGCAGTTTACTGCCACCTCTTAATCATAATGTCAAAAGATGGAGACTTTTTTTTAGCCTGACTATATTCAGTGTTGTTGATTATTAACGCCTTTCTCTAAACTATCAAAAATAGATTTAGCCTTGTGGTTTGTCATAGAGTTTTCGACACGTAAAAACATTACAATGAAAAGAGTTCATTTTCAACATTTTTTTGCTCACCTTTTTGCTCTACGATTATGATATTGCCTATGTTTCTCTACTTTCAATGTTATGACCACTTACAGCTCTTATTCTCTACTTTCAATGTTATGACCACTTACAGCTCTTATTCTCTACTTTCAATGTTATGACCACTTACAGCTCTTATTCTCTACTTTCAATGTTATGACCACTTACATCTCTTATTCTCTACTTTCAATGTTATGACCACTTACAGCTCTTA